AGGAGCTTAGATGCTACCTGTGAAGAAGGCAGGTGGCTTGTGTGTTCTGTGAAGTACTTTTCAGATATTGAGCTCTCTGTTATATTAAGGCTTTTATTTGAAGAATGACTTTTATAGTAACAAGTATACGATTTGCTAATGAAGTAATCTTTAAAATAATGTCTATATTTTTTAGTTTATTTTAGTTTTTTGGTTTTTTTCAAATTGATATTTAGGAGGCTGAAAACTTCTAAGAAACTTAAAGGCTGAGTTTGATATCCTGTCTCCTCTTTTGCAGTTTAGTAGCAGGATTCTACTAAAGAGCTAATCCAGCTCTTTTCCACCAGTAGTCTGAAATATAAATCACAGCTCCAGAAAAAAAAAAAAATCCATAAAGCTCTGTAAGAGGCAGCTTTTTGCTACTTAATAGGAGTCTTCACCACAATTCAATATTTAATTAGCTGTCCATAAAACACAGAGCAGAGAAGCTAGGACAACACTTAGCACTGAGCAATAATGGACAGTAATTATTGGTCACATTACTCTTAGGGCTTATGATGCTGATGGCACATTTCTTTCCTAAGAATAATTCATGAGATTTTTGAGTGTTGGTCAGCATTGCTTAGTACTTTTGCACCCAACACTTCATTATTAGTTATCATTGAACTTCTCCAGAAATATCAGCCACAGAGAGTAGATTTTTACTGGTGAATAAAACTATTGCTAAAGGAAGTAACCTCATCTCTACAAAACAGCGTGCTGATAAACTGGCACAGCATATGAATATACTTGTTACACAAGAACAGATGTCTGGGAAAGTAATTAATACTATTGCCCTGTGGCAGTCCAGGGGTAAATAACCAGCATTTCTTTAACAAGACCTTGTCCCCCATGAAGATTTCTCATGTTATTGCTAATAGACCTTCTCCTGGGAGCTGAACTACAAAAAATCATCAATTTAGGAGTGACTTAGCACTAGAGGGTCTTTTATTTCTACCTTCTCCCTGACTGAGGTAATGGAAACTTTGTTTTTCATAGAATGTTTAGGTAAAGATATTCAGAATCTGCAATCTTAATAAAATCAGGACTGTTAAAATTTTGTGATCTGTGTTTGCTTTCAGTTGCCTTACAAGAAGGACTGCAACAACAAGACCATCTGTACTGCTCATTTAACTTTGACAAGTCAGATTCAGTGAGTCACAGTTGTATTGCCCAGATTTTGCATTTAGCATTCATATAAAAGGTCATCTTTGTGCATAAGACATTTTCTTCAAATTCTCAAGACAAGATTTGCTGTCCCTCTGTTGACATTCTTTTCCATCCAATTCATCCCTCACACAATGCTGTAACTGTCTCTATGGGTGCTGCTGGGCTGTGCTAGGAAACCCCAGAGGAAAGAACAAGGTTTAAATGATTCTAGTCATCCTCAAAGCAGAATTCTGGCCTTTAATTGTGAGCTGGTGATTTGGGTGTAGGCTGATGCATAGCACCACAGCAAAGAGTTGCTCTGTTTACATAGCCTTAGACAAAACAGTAGGCACCACTTCAGTGTAAAAATGTACCCTGGAGAGCCACTGAGAAGCTAATTAAGTGGAACAATGTTTAAAGTCTACCCTGATGTAAAACAGAAATGATAAAATGTTACCTAAAGTTTGAAGATGACTGCCTTTGATATTAAGAAGGAAGCGTTTTCTTCCACGCCCTGAATATTGAATAATTAATTGGATTATTGCATTATCCTGTATGTGAAAGCTTTTGGAGGGAGTAATTACCAGAACCAGAATGCTTCAGGCCTCTAAATAACAACCCTTAGAAACTACATGCCACCCATCTCATTTTTCTGTCTGCTTCTAGAAAGGAATTAGTGGTGGGCCACACTAAAGAGGTGACCATGAATGTTTCACTAATGAACAGTGGAGACGACTCATACATGACAACTATGGTCTTGAACTACCCTAAAAACCTACATTTTAAGAAGGTGAATGTTGAGGTAAGATTGTAGAACAACTCTTCAGCTAGCAGCATACTGCTGAAAGAAAACCCAGTGCAGACTCCTATTAATTTATGACCTAAGTAAATCTTGAAGTGAGGTCCAGGGAGGGGAAGGAGCGTTTCAGTTGTTAGGACTAGAGCCTGAGTACTGCATTTATCTGATTTAAGACTCCCAAGCTTTTATTGGGCTATTTGTCCCTAATTCGTTTTATGAGAGCACACACAGACTGAGCTAAATTTCCCAGTCTGTTTTTACTCAACATTAAAGAGCATTCCTGTTCTGTTGGCAGCCATCCTCTCCTGCTGTTCACTGCGGCCAACCAATACCATTAACTTCTGTACTCTTATCCTGTAACTGCAGAATTGGGCATCCAGTATTCAAGAAAACAACTGTAAGTAGAGATCATTATGTTCACTTTTTCCTCACCTCTAAATGATACTCTGAGTAGCTGCTCTTGCCTCCTCTCTCTCTACAATTAGTCCAGAGCTGCTGTTCTTTCTAATTCAGCTGCTGGCTGGTGTGCATCTTCCCAAGGCAAGAGATAATTTTCATATTCCTGCACTTCACTTAATGTATGATTTCTGCAGAAGGGGATGATGAGCAGAAAATACGTTAGCTGTCGTGTTTTAACATGTACTCTGCTCAGTGAAAGAGTATTTACAGAGTAATCAATAGTTTATGTCTTTCTCTTTCCTCAAAATAGGCAAGATTTGCAGTGATTTGGCAATTAGATGAAAGCATGTTCCAAAATAAGCCCGTGGTCGTCGTTAATGTCACCAAGTGAGTATTGCTGGCTTCACCACAAAATGCACTGTGAACTAGAGAGAAAATACCAGAATTCCTGCTTGGTGTCCATACTATTTATCAGTCACTGGTTACACCAAACTGTACTTGTTCTTTTCAGCCTCCTAAAGCACTTTGATCCATGTGAAAAACCTGTCCTTCCCTTGTCGTAATTTTAGCTTTGCTTATACTCTATTATTTCAGTAAAAGATGGAGTACTATTTAGCATCCTCATTTAAGTGTAGTATGCATTTAAAACCTCCTGTTTGCTGAAATGGCAGCCTGGGTTCTGGCATCCCCCTTCCTTAGCAGAGAGAAGTGATGATTACAATATATAATCCAGCTCTGTTCCAGGCTTTCACTCCAAGTGATTTGGATGAAAATAGATGTTATGGGCATTTTTGTTGATGAGGGGTTTTCTGATGGGGGAAGTTAGTAGTTAGATTCCTTTCTTGTCACCTTCCACCCATTAAAATTTAAGGGGACTGACTAGCACACAGTATTTTTTAAACAGGGAGAATCTTTAAAAAGGAAATTAAAACTCATCTCCTTTGCACGTGCAGTGTAAGGCAAAGATTTCAATAGGAATTTCATGTCCAGTTTTGTGAGGGGAAGCTCTGAAGTTTGATGAATGAAAATACTACATATTCACAAATCAGTGTTGGTTTGTGGGGAAAGGTTTCAAGGCAATGGCAGCTTTCAAACTGGAGTAATAAGGGGTTACTCCAACACGTTACTGTGCCATGTCACCAAGCAGGCTGGCACCTCACTCCATGAATTACTGCCACTGTCTCCATCTCTCTGGTACAGCTGCCATTAGCAGTTCTCACACTAGAGAAATAAAGCACCAAGGCAGGCAGCTAATGTTGTTTCACCCATCCCTTTTCTTTGTTTTTTGAAGCATAAATGAAAATAGCACCATTCTGACTGAAGAACACACGCTTGATGTCAGATATGCATTCACTGCAGTCCTTACCAAGTAAGTTTTAAGAATATTCAATTATATTCCATTACTTTAATCAATTAGAGAAAATAAAAATTGAGAGGATGCCTGGTAAGATTCCAATACAATTTCCATCAATAATTCCAAGCGCTGCAGACTGTCAAGGCACTTTCTCTGGTACTAGACAGCAAAAGTAGAGTCTGGAAGACAGAACAATAAAACCATATAAAAAAGAAAGACATCTTTGTAAAAAGATGTCTTCAAGATAAGCTCAGAGATAGACCTAATTGACAGCACTGCAGCTAGAAAAATCTGGTGCTGCTACCTCTTAATTCCTTGATGCATCTGCGTCACTGGATGCACTAATTTTTAGTAACAATCTAATTCACTTTTCATTTAGTTTGATTAATCATTCTCTTCAGACCAGTGCCTTCAGTGTACCTGAATGTTAGCGAAGGACTTCTTGAAAACAAAGAATTCAGATTTAATGTAAGTATAGCTTCAGATGTAGGTAATCTGATCCATCTGAAGAACAAGAGCACTTACTACCTTCTGCATTTCCTTCTGTAGATAAACGGAGAAAATCCCGTTAATGCCACCATCAAGTTACAGATTTGGGTTCCTGTCAGGATAAGAGGTCACAACATAATCACAGTCAAAAATGCAGCAGGATCACAGGTACTTTTTCTTATTTCTTCATCATCAAATACCTCTTCACTAGCCCTTAAGAGAGGGGGGGGAAAAACCCCATATAACTGCAGATTAGAGTGCTTTTAAAACTTACACTACAGAAACTTTACATATTTACATTTTGGAGCATCATCCCAGGTACAAATTTTGCCAAACTGAACAAAAGCTCCATTTTAAAATTAAGTCAAAATTTGAGTTTTTCCCCTCTGTCCTCACTGGGCTAAAGCATTTACCTTTGTCCTCACTGTCCAGAACTGTAATTTTTTTCTTTAAAAAAATAATTTGCAAGACAGTATAGTAAGGAAGGTACTTTTAATAATCTAAGACTAAAAAGAGAAAATTTCTGTGGAATTCAAAACATTGAGCCTGAAGGAATTTTTCCTGCTTTGCAAACGTCAACTCTGTCTCTGCCCCTATCACCCCTCAAAAAAAGTACATATGGAAACATCTGAAAGCAGAAGACTTTAAGTTTTGTAGACATTTTTGATAGCATATTATAAACACTGGCAACCAAGCATAGCAATTCTTCCTTGAGCCAACATTTGAAAAGTTCATACACAAACAGAAAAGAGAAAGGTGGCATCAGTGACTTGGAGACCTTGCACTCCTTGCTCACTGGAAGAGACTGCTGTTCTGCAAAACATCATTGGCAGACTCAAAGGTCAGCACTTCTTTGTGGAACTTCACCAGCTCCTTCTTTGTTTTCCTCAGGGCAGCAGTGGATTCCTTTTTCTTGTAGCACATGTCTCTCAAAAATTTACCTGACAGGTAGTGCAGCCAGAGGACGTTGCTGTGCGGGTGATAGTCAGTCCAGCTGTTGGAGTTTGCTGCTCTCATCTCCCTGTAGATATCAAACTGGTAGTCCCCTGTGCCTTGGAACAGCTCTTCATCAGTGGACAGGTCACAGAACACAGTCAGCCCGTCCTTCTCCAGGCGCGACAGGGTGTAGTCGATGATGTTGACGTGGAACCCTGCTGTGGGGATTGTGTGGGTCTCCCCATTCAACACATACTCAAGCTCCTTGGCATCTGTTTTCTTGACCAGCACGTTCCCCCAGTGCAAGTCCCTGTGCTCGAAGTGCAGTTCTTGTTCTGCCACAGCCAGGGAAGCAGTGACCTGCTGCAAAATGCTTTTTGCCGCTGCCACTGAAGAGAACTTGTTCCTCATTTTCTCCAAGTCACTGCCTCCAAATTCAAACTCCAGAACCATGAAGAGCTGCTTGTCCCCAAAAAGGTCTGGCCGATCATTTTCTGATCCTGTTACTTTGTGGTATTTGTCCCAGGCTTCCAGGAGATACTTAGGATAGGCCCCTTGAACACAATGCACAGAGTACAGGCTGATGAACCCAACAGTCCTATTCACAGACTCCTCAGACAGAAGACTGAGTTCTTTTGAAATTATTATCTCGGGCAGAATCTCTCCAAAGCTCTTTTGAACTTCACCATTTATTCTTTCACTCCCCTCAATGGGAATTATTTTTAAGGCCACAGGCCCTCTCTCACTGTCTATCTGGAAGACCTCTCCAAATACCCCTTCTCCAATTTTCTTGCAATCTTTCATCTTATCTAAAGGAATACAATCCTCAAAAGCAATAGGCCCCTCCTGGTAGCATTCCTGAAACACCTTCTCTGCATCTGTAAGCGTTAGCTCCAGGACAGAAGAGGAATTCCAGGGAGCCAGCAGGACTATGGAGGAAACAGAACAAGCTGAGCACTGAGCCTTAGCAGACAGGTTTGCTTGGTGCTCTGAAAGCAGGGACTTCACAGAAGGGGTACCAAAGCTCCTGTTGTAGGAACTGTCTTCTGTGGTAACTTTCTTCTTCTTATGGAAGGACAGAAGTGCTCGAACTCTACCCCAGGAATAGGAGCTATTGAGGAGTGAATAGTCATTGTCTCTTACATCTGCAGACAACTCCAGAACACTCCTTTTCTTTCCTTTTTGCCTCTTCTGTGGCCTGAAAAAGGAGTTCCTGGGCTGCCGCTGTCTGTTGTTTTTGTGCCTTCCT